CCCAATTAGGTAGGGAATGGCTAGGCCCCAAGAAGGATAAAAAGAGAGACAAGAGAGACCATTGAGTTTACACCAAGATTTCTCATCCTTGGTCCTCTTAGCAAATAATAATGTGTCTTGGGGAGCAAAGTTGTCCACAGTTGAGAACCACATTTTCTAATGCCATTATTATCTCAGCTCTGTACTTTATTAATTTTTTTTCTCAGAACTATGTCAAGAGACTAGTGCACTAACAGGTGTAGGGAAAGAGTAGAAAGATCCCACTCCCCAGTGCTTAACCAGGATGACTGTCTTCAGGTCAGCTGGTCTTCATGAGGTTAAAGTAGGGAGAGGACATGAAATAAATACTCAAAGCCAGTTGGCATCCACAATTTTGAGCTAATAAATCCATCTATATGGATTTGATGAATTGTACTGGGAATCTTAGCTAAATATCTTGTTTTAAATCTGAATTAATATTTAATATAATAAATCCTTTCCATAGAACTCAATGATACAGCAGTGGAGTAGTTATTTTTTAAGGCATAAACTAAAGGACAGCAGAGGAAACACAACAGACTCACTGCCATTTTGGCTTAGATTTTTAAAAACTGATCTTATTGTAATTTAAATATAGTACTCACAATAAACATAATATGTATTTATAATATTGGTATTAGAGGGCATGATTCATAACACTTCATAAGTTAACATGTAAGACATTTCCTTTTTGTAATGCCTGGTAGACTTTTATTATACTTAATTTTGAGAAAGTATGTAAGGCAACCTAGAGTATACACAAATAGTACAATAATACAATGATTCCCACATTTGTTTCTTCCGTGGAGTGTACCAAAACATTTTATTTCTTTCTATTTTAAAGGGTTCCTTTTCTGTTTCTCTGGTGGAATGAATGCAAGCTTATCTTTACACCAGGAAGGTAGATGTCCACCTCACTTCCTCCAGCAACGTGCTCTTCTCTCTCCTTCCTATCCCAAGATCTTACACTAACGTGACTAATAAGAATCTTTTTCATGAAATTAACCAAACAAAATTTCTTTTATTCTTGGTGTGTTGCCTTAAAAACCATCTATAGGAAATTCTCTTTAGTTAATTAGAGGAAGGTACAAATGAATGAAAAATGTGTTTGTTGACTCTGCTTCCACCACCACATACACAAAACTACCTTTTTACATCAAATGCAGGTGTACACACGTCTTCCTGAGCTGTTTCAGTTTTCCTTATCTGAGATGGTTACACACTGTATGTCCAAAAAGTCAATAAATAAAATCTGGCAATCACTGGAAATGCATTTTCTCCTTGTTTACTTCTACTTAAATATGATGTTTCAATACACATGTGATAATAGTTTATATACTAGTCTGTATAATCTCTTAAAATCTATATTTTTGATATTTCAAATATATAATTCAATTAAGTTCAAGCTAGAAAGAATTCTATTGGTAATAACCTCTTACTAAAGTTAGTAATTGATGGAGAAATTCAGGCTGATTAAAAGGTAGCATGTCAAGTAAAGGGGAATAATCTGAAATACTGTAAACAAATACATGAGATAAGTTAAATGTAAGGATACAACAATTAAATTTATCTCCTCGGGTTAACTTATTCTAAGCATGAGAAAATGGTAGTGAAGAAAAAATGTGTGTACGATTTTGCAACACATACATATTTGAAAAGCATCTCCCAACTAGATGAATCCACTCTGTTCCTACAAACTATTTTCTTCTATTCAACTTCTTATTTGTGTACATTTTGAAAAGTCATTTCTGGATCTTATCATTCTTCCCTGGAGATCTTGCCTTTGGCAATTTCAACGGAGCAGAAAAAATCCTGAACACATGCTTCCTACCTTTTCCAAATATGAGTTATCTACCTCTGTCTATTGTTAACCTCTTAGGCAGGGATCACAGACCTAACTTTAAATTCAAGCTTTAATTTTATAAGAAAAGCTTTATCTTTTAGTATGCTCATCTAGAAATGCTCAAGCTATGAACCTAAAAGAATCTTCTGATTTTTTTAATCTATAAGCATCTGGGAGCAACTCAAATAATAGCTATCCTAAGTGTGAGGGGAAGTCATGTCTGTACCGTACCACTTATGGTGTTTATCTTTGAAGTTGATTAAATGTTTCTAATGCTTACTCTACTTAAAATAAGAAATGTCAACTTATATAGAAAAATATAAAGATAAAGTCCTCTACTAAATTTGCTCTGATGATATGCTTCTTTCTATGTATATGTGGGGATCTTATCCTTTAGATTATAAATTCAAGACGAGTAATTGTCAAGATATTTTTATTATATATTATATATAATATTTAAATATATAGTAGAGCCTAAATGAAGACTCTGGATAATGTTATTATTTTGATATGATGCTTGATAGAGAGGATAGGGTGGGATGTCCAGAGGTCATTATTACTTTTCTATCTGGTTTGTGTTCAAATAGGATACTGGCTAACTAAACCTTAAGAGAAGTTAAGAAAACTGGAGGATTAGAGAGATAAACAACAAAGAGAGAAGTGATTTTCTTCCTACCTTAAGTTTCTAGGCTACTTAAAAAAAGTTTTTGATAAACACCTTGAAAAATAAATGAAGAAAAATAAAAGTAGGACTAAATCTGGAAAGTAAATTGTAAGTATGATTCGTATTTGCCACTTGTTAGTCTATATTTTATAAAATTTGAAAAAATAAAACACCTAAATTTTTCTAGCTGTATAAACTTCTCTTTGTAAATGTAAAATGTCACTGTATCCTCAGAGGGGAAGAAAACAAACCAGAAAGACAGTTTTGAGCAAAATCTTATGTCACAGGTTACTGTTTCAAACTTCTTGTGGTATTATTTATTTTATCTTTTTCTAGATGAGATAAATGCCAGTTTTAACAGCTGACATTTTCAATGTTAATGTTTAAGTCAAGTGCTACCAAAATATACTCTATTGAAAGATCACATTCTCAAGTAAAAGTAGTAAAATGTAATTAGAATTGTGATTTAATTCTGCTATTGGATAACTTTCTTCACTTATATTTTAAAAGGAATGCATACTGAATACTGATTAATAATATACAATCTTTGTGAAAAGAATGATATGAGCAAAGACCACCTGTAAGTCATTAAATTTTAAAGAAATTTAGTAAACATAAGTAAATGTATGGCAATGGGAGCATACCAACAAGTAGAATGATGAAATATTTGACTTCCAAATCCAACTTTTAAAATCTAAGATGTTTTAAATTAATTGGTAACAAATGCCAAAAGGCTTTTTCACTAGCCAGCTTTCATTCCTTAAACTAAATTTTAATCAAAACCTCCTACAAATTTATAAAAGTTTGAAGTTCTCTTTAAATAACCCATGTCTTCAAGAATTTTTTCACATTAACTACTTGATTAGAATGGCAGAAGCAGGTTTTATAGCTTTTGGTGATGGCCAATTCTTTTGGCATAATGGATGTTTCTTTGCAATGTACAGGTGACCCAAATTCTCTCTTGTATAAGCAATGTTCAAGTTTGCAGTGTCCTCTTCTGTGTTCCCTTTAAACTAGTTCACATGTCTATAATCTCCCTTACTCTATGATGTTGTGATTATCTGTTTAAACATCTCAACCTTTCACGGTGTACCTTCACAATAGAGAGACAGTACGCCATTCAGTTGTGAATCCTTAGGCCCTAGTACTGTGCATAGCCATAAAGTAAGAATATAATAAAACTAGGTTGAATGAATAAATGAATGAAATAAGCTAGTAAATGAATGAAATAGCCTAATAAACGTCAACTATGGAGAAATAAGCTAAGAAAGGTCAACTACAGAGGCAATCAAACCCCTTTGGAATTAATTGAGAAGATCATTTTATAGACTCACCAGATAACTGCCAATAGTTACATAAAACTACACAATGTATTATTTGTAGGAAGTGGTGCTAAAGATATTAATGAGAAAGATAGAAAAATGATATTTTAAAGATCGGCAACTGAGGGTCTTCTAGCTGGAAGTTTATTCACCCTAATGGATCATATTATTAAATGGTATATTTCTCCTTGTTGATTTCATAGCAAATTCTAATAGTTAATACTGATGGAATAGGTTCTGTAATCTGGTCTATAAAGTTAGTGTGATATGAAAAGAAATCTGGAGACAAATATCTTTAATGATTTTGCTATATTCATAAAATGTGGCCTTGATCATTTTATTCAAAATAAAGGCAGTATTAACTGTACTGACCAGGTATGGTGGCTCACGCTTATAATCCCAGCATTTTGAGAAGCTGAGGTGGGATAATTGCTTGAGCCTGGGAGTTTGAGGTTGCAGTGAACTATGATGACACCACTATAATACAGCCTGAATGACAGAATGATATTCTGTCTTTAATTAATTATATATATATATAAGCTTTTGTAGCTAAGCATATATTATATATTATATACATTATATGCTTGTATATAATATATAATATATTCACATGTCTATAATCTAAACTAGTTAATATAGTTTACATATTATATAATATAAAATAATATATAATATAAAATTATAGATAATATATAGTATTATATTATATATTTTATATATATATATGCTTAGCTATAAAAGCTTACCACTAAATTTCACTACTTTGGTTTGCAGGCAGTGAGGAAAGGAATGTTTGATGGTAGTGTTTCTTTGTCTTGTTCTTATACCAAAAGTCATTAGACTTCCCAAAAATTTTCTAAGTACTAGGAAAGCAGATTATATTAAAGATAATGCCCTAAATGCTTACAATACAACGCAGTTCATCAAAGTTCAATTACCACACTTCTATAGTAGTTTAAAGTGCTGACATCAGGCTCCATATTTTGGAATTACCGCATCTATATTCTGTAATTTATAAGCAACGTTCTTGTTTGGTACACATTTTAGGATATTAGGCATGAGAGATAATGCCAAATGTTTCCTAAGAAATAAACTGAAAAGTGCAACAGATTATGAGGATTCAAACAAGCACATTTTGTTATTATGATTGTACCTCGTTCTCCCTTCTGACACTTCTTCCTTTGCACTGTACACTTTCTTGTCTCATTTGTGGGGGGACACAGGTTACCCTTTGCTGAAGGATGCTGCATTATTTCTCGGACCCGTGTTTCAGTCCCTCTTTTGAAGCCACATGTTTTTCCCTTCTTCGTGCATGGACTCCAAGGATTCCATTCACTGACCTCACAGTGCACTGAAACAGAACAGAAGAAACAGACTCAGTTGGCTCACAACCACTTTCACTATTGTTGAGTTAAAAAAAAATTTGCTTCAATCAAAACTTGCTCAAATTTGAGCAGAAATCTTGCAGATCAAAGTCAGGCAAGATGACCTAAATATAAAAACAAGAGAATGGGAAAGGCAGAAATTGAATGTTTTCAGTTTGGTACTCATTATCAGGTAAACTCATTTTTGCATTGGATTTCCTTTTTCTTTAGATTGATTAGCACAGGCACTAACCTTAATATAATCACTAAAATTGATCAATTCTTTATAATTTCCAGAGCACTGCTGCAATTGTTGATTGATCCTGACCTGAATTTGAAGAACAGTTGTTATACTATGTGTTAGAGAATTGATTCTCAAACTTTAGCATGCATCAGAATCACTTGGAGGGCTTGCTAAAACAAAAAATGCTGGAGCTTTCCCCACCAGCCCCCACCAGAGTTTCTGATTCAGTTAACTGGGATAGGACTGTGAATTTGCCTAACAATACAGGTAATGTTGATTTGCAGGTACTGGGAACACCGTTTGAGAAACTCTGTGTTAGAGAACGCTTGAGCAGAAAATGAATCCAGGTCTTTGGCCTACTATGTACTGCCTTTTCTTACTTCATGTGCTGTTGTATGCTTAAATATTGATATCTGTTACTGAGTATGGTTCAGACATAGCGGTGTCTATTATATGTGAATTCTGGGTCAATTTCAGCTGATAACCTGCTTCTAAAATTAACCTGATCAAGTGATTCCTAAGATGACCTGATGTACTTTTTCTGAAGCTTCTTTTGGAGATTTGGTTCCTTTTTCTGTGTTAGTTTCTTTTTTTCAATAATGGCTTTCTCAGGTTGTAACAGATTTTTGCACTTCTAAAGAAAAGAAACATCTACAAGGTGCTATTATATTTATGTCCCTAAAACTTTCTAATGTATAAAAACAGCTAGCAACAGTAACTCTTTCAGATGATTTAAGACTGTCTTTCCACAAAAAGAAGTTTCCAGTAACCTCCCTTATTGCCTTCTGATTTAATGATTCCTTACTTTAGAGCAGAATACTATCTCTCATAACAGCCTCAAGAAAGATAACTTAAATGTTTTAGAAATTTAAATCCATTTATGATACATTTTTCACAGGCCTTTTCAGGCAGTTTTAGGTCCCTGAGTGCAACACGGAATTAAATGGAATTGATTAAATACATGACTTTAGGTTTCTGTTAAGTGAAATGAACTCTATTGAAGCATTTTAAAATAGTCCTCATGCTCGGTTATACCATTACAATTTTCACTCAATAGTAGAGTAACTAAGTCAATTAATAATATTATAATCTCTTGTTGGTTATGGATATTATCTTGCAGCATGCCATTCTGATATTAACCATTGAAAACTAGTGTATCCTTAGCATTACAAAAAAAAAAGCACCTCCAAAAAAGCAAATGAGAAGAGGAAAGTCAATGTTTGTGAGCTGTCGCTTTGTCCAGTATTCGTTTAATTCCAGAATTAAGAGAACTGAATTAGAAAAAATTATCTGATGTGCAAGTGACCAGAACTTTGGTGCTCTTTCATAATAGCAAAAGTGGTCTAAGCAAATGTATACTTGGACTTCAGAAAAACATATTTAAAAAAATACATCTTAGGTAATTATTAGTTTACAGTCAGAAGATGAATGGTTTTAAAAATTAAATTCTAAGGACAACCTTAGATAGTTTCATTGGTGGAGGGAACATATTCAAAACTAATGAGTTTAGGTAGTAAAAAGCTCTAATGAGACCGGAGAGCTAAAGCACCATGAGATGAGGCGAATTTATCTTAGAGAAATACTGTAGAATAAACCTACAATGTTAGCATCCAAATAATATTTCCAGAAAAAAAATGAAAACTGAAAAGAAGTGCTAAAGACAACACAAAAGGTGATTTAAGTTCTCTTCAGATCATTTAATGTACAATGTGGAATCGAAGCACTCCTTGGTTAAGAGGTAGTTAAGAAAAACCAGAATATTCACCTTCTGTGTTCCTTCTAGTTTCTGTATTAAGAACAATCTGAAAACTGGAAATTTTTAGCTATTCACTAATGAAGCAAATGAAGCACATGTCTCATAAAGGCAATGAGCTCCAGTTTCTGGGAATGATTGTGCTGTGGTTGATCATCAGTGCGAGATGCTGTAAAAGCGATTCCCGAATTGGTAAGAAAGCTGAATACGATGTCCTACTAGTAATGTCCTACTAGTAATGACTTTACTTGTCATTTTGCTCTAACTCTTGTTGACTAGTTGCATGGTTACCTATAGAACACAGCAAGAGAATGTCCCTTACTACTCAGTGCTTGGAGTGAGACATATTCTCTCTGTGATTTCTTGAACAAATCCAACTCTCTAAGAGAAGCAATGAGGGTGACAAAATGACAGTGCAGAAAGGAAGCAAATATCTGGAGCACAAAGTGAAAAGAATATGTTCTCTTATAAAATTTGGTTCAGTGGATGTTTCTGTTTCATTTGACCTGCAAACCGTGGAAAGCGGATATATTGTGGCATACCTCTTTCATCCCAGCTCTGTATCAGGGTAGCATTTCCTCTGTTTATGACCTTTCCTCTCAATTTAAAATCTCGATAGAAAACTAGAAATACGGTGTGGATTTTAGCAATGAGAAAGACACATTCTTTCTGTTGGGTGAGTAGTGGGAAGCTGAAGTTAAGTTACTAATGACAGCACTGGAAATAACTTAAAATGTTTCTTCGGGCTCATCATTTTGGCTCTCCGGATCCTAGTTTTCACATTTGTAAAAGGAACAGGCTTTAATATTCCTTCATGATATAGAAGCAGGTCATTGTCATCTTCCCTGAAATTCTGGACTGGACTAAAGGCATGGCAGGTGTAGTACCTGTAGGCTAGGCACCATATGATGGGAGACATATCTTATTGAGCAAACAACAGGAGCCAGCCCTGAACGAAAGTTGGTGATTTGTGTTACTACAGTGTTCTAGGTCATTTGCATCTGTTAAATGAACCAAATTCAGTAACTGGCCTTTGGACTGCTAAACTCTCTTCCAAAATATATAAACTTAAATGTAGTTGTGTTAAGAAATAAGTAGTCTTAGTCTTACTAGTAGTATAAATTATCAGTAAGCTTTAAAGACAAATCCAATAGTACCAAGTGTGAAATGATCTCCCTGACAGAAAAGCATTAATACATTTCAGGTAAATAGCCTTTCCAGAACTGAATGTCACAACTTCAACAGCTGAAAAAATCTAACTATGTGCCTTTTATTTTCTGGGTAGAGAAATGTTGCAAACATTCTGCAACTCATCCTGAATTTCTGCTCTTGAATATTCCACAGACGTGTTTTCTATTTTTTCCAGTGTTTGGAACTTATTACCTCTAATCATCAGCCCTCAGGACCTATAAGAAAAAGAACTTGTAGTGCTTTTCTTTTGTACTTTTTACCCTATTCCTAGGTTGCTTTTTTTCCATGTGTTTTTACAACTAGAGAAGAAAAAACGTAACCAAAATGAGCCATGAACTATTTCAAGACCGTTGTTTTCCAGATGCTTCTAAAATTATCTTTAAAATATCTATTTATTGTATTCTATCAAAAACATTGTTTAGAAATAAAAGTGCTGCGGTGGACTTGAAATGGTTAACCCACCACTTTAGAGTTATTACTCCAGCACTTTAGATTCTAAGGGACTCCTAAGATGGGGACCCCAGGGGAGTCCTGGAGACTATCTTGTACTGAATCAGGAGGGCAGTTGTGTGGATATGCCAACATCACCGCAGCATCAAAGGTTCTTATAATTCTTGCCCAGGGGATTTTGAGATTTCCTAGGCTATTTTCCCATTTGGTTTAGCATCTGCTTCCCAAGTGTTCATCAAAGTTGTAGCTGTAGTAGCTGCACAACGTTTAAAAGAGGGAAAATATAGCCTGACAGTGATCTGTTATTTAGACAAACAACTTGTCTGAGGGACCTCCCCTTCAGGAAATTCAGCCTGCAATTAATCAGACCCAGGGACTGTCTCAATCTGTCAGTGTGAGTAAGTCCACAATCCTCTTTATTATATATCAATACCCGTGGAAGCAGAATATTTCAGCATAGCAGTGTGAGAGAAAAAGAGTGAGATTTCAACTAAATCACTTCCAGTTCCTAGGTCTTTGATCCACTTACTGAGCATTAATGGGCTGTGTCAAGAGAATATATGTTCCCTCCTTGGAAAATAACTTTGGTCATTAGTTGAGATCAGACTTAGGTGTTTTATGAAACTGTTGCTTTAAGGTAAAAATTAAGTTCAAGACATATATGTATGTCACATAACAGATCACTGTCAGATATATATATATGTGTGTGTGTGTGTCTTGACTGAATTTTTACTTAAATAAAATTCATTAAATAATAATTTAAATAAAAAGTCATTAAATAATAATAAAAATAAATCTATCATAACAGAACAGTTGAAACAATTATTGATAGTCCTTAAGAAATAAGTAAGCACCCACTGTATTAAATTGTACTATAATACATACTACTAGATAAGGTTATAAAAAACACCTCTAAGAGAGTATCTTTATAAAGAAGGATAGAGACAGTCTTAAGAGATCTCAGCCCAAGAACCTTCAAGTTCTTTTGACAAAGGACTTTGAAAAGCACTTCCATGGAGACTGACATGATCACTTCTTCAAATTATTCCAGGTTCTCCTTACCAATATTGACACACTCCATAGTATGGTTGTTGGCTTCCAACCCTTCTGGGCAATTGTCAAGGCACTTTCCAAGGTGTAAGTAAAATCCACTTTTACATTTTGTGCAGAAATTTTTGTTGAAACAGGTATCACAGTCAGCTTTGCATTCTGAAAGAGAAAAAAGAAAGAGAAATATGCCTGCATTATGTTCTCTTAACATAAAACTATCTTTAAAACATAAAGTTTTATGTTCTGCATGTGTCAAACACAGGCACACACAACTTTAGTATCAAATAAACACCTGAAGTCCAAAATTATTTTGCCAGACTGAATTCAGGATTCCTCCACAGTGATTTAGTTGGTGTACATTGGTTATTGATTTTAAAATCATTATACTGATTGCCCTATGAAAAAATCTTTGTTTTGTATATATATATAGCCAAGAATATTTATAAGATGAAATATCTGTTTATATTAAGTGATAGTGAAAATGTTTCATCAGAACCTTAAGAAAATATACAAAGGATATTGCCTTCGTGTTGTTCTTGAGGGCTATTGATTCTTACAACAAATATTTAATTGCCTACTATGTGCCAGGCATTGTTTTCTATATTGGTTGACAGCAATGCACAAGAGAGGTAAGAGTCAGGCTTCAGAAAGTTTACATCCTGGGAGAGGACATATGGTGAACAGTAACAATAGTTCACCCTTATATGGCGCTTACTGTAAGCCAGGATTGCTATAATGTTTTACAATATTATTAAGTCATTTAAAGTTTACAACAATCCAATGAGGTAGTCATTGGTATAATTTCATTTTACACATAAGGAAACTCAGGCTAACAAAGAGTATGAAACTAACCCAGGACAACAGATCAGACTGCTTTTTGAAACCAAGCAGTCTAGTTCCAAAGTGATAGGTGCTCTGGAAAACAAACAACAACAACAACAACAACAAAAACAACAGCAAATGGTGGGAAAAAGAGATGGAGAACGGTTGACGGGGGAACAGGCTGATTATTTTGGATAAGATGATCATGGAGTGTCTCTCTGAGAAGGTGACATATGAGCAAAATCATCAATGAAATAAGACAGCCAGCCATGCAAAGATGTGGGCAAAAAGCTTTCCAACTGCTAGAACAGCCAGTGTAGAACATAATTGCAAAGGCTTGAGGTGAGAAGATCTTACAAGAAGGCAAGTGAGGCTGGTGCAAAATGGCTGAGGGGGAGTTGTAGGAGATGAGTTTGGAGAGATTGATGGAACTACATATGATATTTGAATTGAGTGGTATTTCCTAATTTACATTTTTGAGAAAGCACACTTGGTCTGCAGTGTGAAAAACAGGTTTTCAGGGTCCAGATGACAGTACTCCCAACATTTATTTCCCATTGATAAATAAATGTTTCAGTTGCTCTGGAATCTCTCTTGAAGTCAAAATAGCTGAAATGATTCGACAAGTTAGTTAATACTTGGATTTTGTGTTGATAATGGAAACTCAGATGGAATTGTGACTTACAGTACTTTTCTATAGGTTCAATGAGCAATAATCACATTCCCAGCTTTTGCTTTCAGAATTAAAAAGAAAACCAAAACATGAGTGCTTTCTTGTAAGTTAGTGATAAAAATTTTCTGGTTATGATGGTTAAGTCCAAATATGGTTTAGCCTAATTATCAGATAAACATTATTGTTTACTTAACATTGAATATCACAAATATATTAGAGGCCATTTCAATCTGGAAAAGTCACCAAGGATGAGATAAAAATACAATTTCGTGTAGGCACTTACTTGTACACTTATTTATATCTGGATATCGAGTTCCATAATATCCACTTGGACATGAAGAGAGACACACTCCAATCTGCTTCATGCCAATTCTTTCCAGAACAAAAAATAGTCTGGGCTTACATGACAAACATCCATTGTAATCTGAACATGTTGCACAGCCTCCTTGGCAGCCTTGACTGACGTTAGGATGCACTGCGGAGACAAATGTAGAAAGACATTACAAAGGTTAAACCACAGATATAAAAGTTAGATGACATTTTCTGGGCAGGATATACGTTTTCTTTCATTAGGTTTCAATTTGTTGGTAATGAGTAAATGAGGTGGGATTTTTTTCCTACCAGTTTTTGTGATCTTTTATTTCCCTTTAGCACATACATTGTTTTTAATTTCAAAGTTCTTAAAATTGAGCATTTGAAAAATAAGAATATACTGCCTCAAAGGACTTATCTATGTATGTGTGTGTATACATATTCTCTTTATATGTAATATATACTGTATAATTATGTATAACTAATTATACATATATTCTCTTTATATATATAATATCCTCACTGAACTAGCACCCTGGGAGATTGGGGACTGGTAATTTTGTGCTCATTTACACAGTGAAATTAATACACATTTGCTTTGCTTTTCATTTACGTAATGGAGGATAAGCATATATTTCTAATTTCTTCAGTAAGTAAAATAATGTACACTAGGGTTTAACTTGAGTAAGGACACTAAGTTTTATAATATCTGTTTTGAACTGTGGTGTATTAGAGAACACAATTTTACTTTTTGATCCAATGCAAACTGATGTTGGAACTGTGTTAGCTGTTGAGCACCCCACAATTCCTTCATGAAATATTTCTTCTCACACGAGCTTAATCATTGCCAGTTCAAATAGATATAATGGTGAAAATGTGATGCTTATCTCACCAGTATTTCCATGTGGATCTGTGACTACTTATGGTAATTTATGTTCAATATTTTCTCTTTTGGGACTGGAGTCTTACAGTTTCTGTGCCCTCATCTTCTACTTACTCGAGTGAAATGTATATTTGGTGAGAATGGACCAGTCTACCTTAAGAATCACTGTTACACACATTCCAGGGTTTTCAAGAGTTACCAATGTGTGAGTTAAGAGTGTTCGTTAGCAAGTCTGAACAAACAGAAACAAATATTTGGGAGACTTATGTTTACTTAAGATCATCACAACTTTAAATCTTCTTTTGACTATTAACTAGTCATCATTACCTCTGCGTGAGCTGATAAAAACTGCTAAGGGGCGTTTCTCATATAGCTGGTGTTTAGGATTATTTCTTTTCCTATTGTGTTCTTCACTCAAGTATATTGCTAATAGCTTTATCGTCCTTTGAAGATGCCAGAGGAAAAAAAAATCATAATCCTTAGAGAAAGAAAGATTCATGCACAGGAATCTAAAGGCATCCCAGTGTATTTCTGGCTTCTTTTGTTGGTAGTAGGAGTAGTAGACTCTGATGGACCTTAGCATAGTTAAGTCTGTCTTTACAGTGACGTTTGGTTATTGCTAAGTTCTTTACCACAAAAACAAATCCCTCCAGGCTTTGTTAGAAGAGGTACCCATAAGACCAAACAGCCTTACCACAGGAGTGCACGGGTTAGTTACAGAGAGGTCATTCGGTTGACCAGCATCCTCTGCCTGTAGGAAACCATCCCCAAATCAGCCACAGGAACCACAAGCAGCTCATTCTCATTCCAAGACGTTTTGTAAATAAACTAAGGAAATGTGTGGGGGAAGGGAAGTCTGCTTTTCCTGTGCATGCTCCTCTGTGGGGGTGGGGCAGTCACATAAAGTGGCACAGGAGGTTTAGACATTACAGGGCCTGGGGGACTTGTAAGTGAAACTACTTTCCAAGTAACAGGGTCATTTTTCATGCCAGTAACTCAGCATTTGGTGACTTACAGAAAACGTGTACATATTGTAAGCTTGCAAAGATCCTAAAAGGGAAAAGGGGCAAGAGATTTCCATGTGTTCAGACACGTGTTCAGAATCTATCATTATCCATTTCAAGAAGCAAGAGGTGTAGATAAAAACTTGTAAGACCTTTTCATAGAATTGTCTATGGAAGAGTGGACCTCAACTTGAAAGAAAAGTGCTTCACACTCAGGGCACTAAGAGACTCTGGGTTTAAGGAAGATGGACCATATTAGTCCATGCCAATCCATCCCTATCTCTGAAATATGGCTGCTGAAAGAAAACACACAGTTCTAATTTTATGTATTCTGAAACTTTTGCCAATTATGATATAATTTTAAATATATCAATTATTAATGTAAACATGATTTACATATTCAGAGCTTCAAAAAGTGACATTCCTTAAGATAAATTTTATTTTTAAAACTAGGTTTTGAATGTTTGGAATGTTCTCCAGGAGAGAGCTTTGAGTAAGTCTCATGATTGTAACCGTATCCACTGAAATTATGAGATGTGCCAAAATACCTTGCTTGATTCCCTCTGTCTCTAAAACTTTTACTGATGAAATGCAGCATAGTCAACATTGTGCTACAATAATTCTTTTTGCTTTTTTTTTCATATTTTGATTTCCTAGGCAAAGGTTTTTTAAAAATTTGATTTTTGGAAAAGCAAGAAAGACCTAGTTGTCCCAACTTGCAATAAAATTTTGTGTCTTAATCAATGAATTTTGAATATGGGCAACGAATTTTGAATATCAAATGATGGCAAACCTTATTTCTTCAGGGAGATTTAAATGTTGGCTGTGGGAAGAGAGAGAAATGGAGACTATGAAGCTCAGATTCAATGAGTCTAGACTTTTTTATGGTTATGTAGTATAGTGACAGCTTTCTTGAATGCCGTATAAGGATCACACAAATTACACAGTCAGTATTACACAACTAGGTACAAATTTCCCAAACTTCATTTTAAGGCAAGAGATTTTACTTTTTATATGGAAACCACAAAAACTTTGGTCTATATTGACTGTAACAACACTTTCAGCCATAAAATCTTGTGATTCTGAGACAGAAAATAGAATTTTACTTTCTCATGTGTCTTTCTTTTTATTACCCATTCAATATTAACTTCATTTTGCATTTCTAAATCACCTTTTTCAAACAATATTTTCCTACTATTATTTGAAATTGTTGGTGGAGAGGTAGGGAATGTTTCACAGAATCTCAATGTTTGAACTTAATCTTAGAAAACGAGTTGGAGTTTATCAGTACCTAAGTGGCCATGTGTGGCTAGAGAAGGAAACACTACAATGACCCAAGTTGGGAAGGAGACTGGCATGAGTTTGATGCAACTGGTGCATAAGTAGTGGGGGATGAAGATATGGGGAATAACAAGAAGATTGGAAGCATAAAATAGATCTAGATTACAGAAACTTTTTTGAGATAGGCCAGTGAAATTCTTCCGTAAATATAGGGTGTTTCAATCACACTAGTGATTGAAATACAAGATTTGAATTGGAAAGGAAATTTCCCTGGCAGTGTGGCAGGCATGCAAACTAGGAAAAGAATAATGCAGTGGTCAAGGTAAGAGGCTGATGATAACTTAAAACACGGCAGAGGCAATATAATGTAGTGAGGAAGGGATGTGTTTCAAGGATATTTAGGAGGTGGTATCAATCAAATATAGTGGCCAATGGCATGTAGGCTGAACAAGAAAGAGGATTTGAAAAGGTGTGTTTCTAAGTCCAGCCAGTGAATAGAGAGGGGAGGGGTTACCAGGCGAGTAAAAGTCTGCAGCTGGAGAGTAGAGCATGGTGCATAGAATACCGATGTTTAAAAAGATAAACCTGGCTTGGAATCATTAATTTTGCAGATTTTGTGAAATATCCAGAGAGTGATGCTTCATAGATGGAGCTTACTTTGGAGTGGCTGTTGGAGATGTTCACATGAGTCTCTGACAGTGGTTACTTAATTAGAAAAGGCATGGGAGCTACTGGGCCTGGTACAGTGGCTCACGCCTCTAATCCCTGGCGGGCTGATCACATGAGACCAGGAGTTTGAGACCAGCCTGGCTAACATGGAGAAACTCCATCTCTACTAACAATACGAAAATTAGCCCAGTGTGGTGGTGCACATCTGTAATCCCAGCGACTGTAACTGCTTGAGCCTAGGAGTTGGAGATTGAAGTGAGCGCAGATCGCGCCATTGCACTTCAGCCTGGGCGACAGAGTGAGACTCTGCCTAAAAAAAAAAAAAAGGAGAGGGGGGAACTAATGAAAACTTAAAGAAAGAGAGGACATCATGCAAAATAGGGGACATTTGGTAAGAGAACAAAATGTATTATCAGCAGCTTTAAACAATACTTTGAATTTCTAGGTGACTCACTGTTGCTTTTAAAGCATACTCAAATGCTAAATTAACTGTGGTAATTGCCTTATGATATAAGTAAGTAGAAGCTATCATAATCATTTATTTCGAAACTTCAAACTTGGACTCAAATGAATGCTGTAATCTGCTGGAAAAATAGTGAGTTTAGATCAGAGGTGAAAATAGAGATCTTTGATATCTGGTAACTATATCTTTATATATAAGTACACTTTAGATGTGTAATGGAGGTAGATATGAATGGGAAAATGGGCACAATTCATGGAAACTTTAAATTGGGACTTTCTACTAAAAATGTGTCACATACACAATGAAATTAATATGTCTATCCTTAAAATTAAGACAGAGGGAAGTATTATTTCTTGTTTATTATGGTTAGTTGTACGAAAAGGGTATACACTGATACATAACTTAAACCTACTTTCAGTGTCTGAACTGTCAACACTCCCTGAGTAAGAAACTTCAATTTCACTATCTGTTAAAGAAGGCTTCCTACTATTTGATACCCTTTAACTTGTGATACATAACTAATGCAACCATTCCTAAGAGACTTGCTATTATCATAAGAGTTAATTCAACTTTGATAAAACATCCAGAATATAGAATTTTAAATGGAACCAGAACATTTGGTCAATATACAGCCTTTCGCTACTTATTTTCAATGTTTATGATGAATCAACTAATACATTATTGGGAACTAAATTCTTTTTCTGTGACAATTTAAGTGCAAGCTTCAAGCATTTGCTTTACTTTAATTTACTTCTAAAGCTCAGTTACAAATGTACTAAGAGCTACTGTAAGTTGTTATGTGAAAAAAATCCACTATTGCATGCTGTTAATTACTGTTGATGATCATTTATTTGTAGCTAATT